TTTTTTTTTTTTTTTTTTTTGTAATTAGTGGTTGGTTGAATCCATAGATGCAGAATCCAGACATGAAGGCTAATGTATATGTAATGCCTGACACAGAATCAAGAACTGCAGTCTCAGGAGCAAATCAGCCATGGTCCTTCGTACTTCAAAGGTAGCACCACAGCTGTACATACACCTGAAAAGGCACACATCGGGCAAAATGACAGTTTCAACGGTAAACTCACTCTGGAATCAGCCATGCCTGGCTTTCTGGCCTGTGAGGTACTAGAACGCCTTTATGACCTACGAATTCTCCATTAGAAAGTTCCTCGCTGATAACAATGTCTAACACATGGCGCTTATGGTACTTGGTGCACACCTCCAGTACCACGTGTAAACGCCTTCGGGTTAGACCTGTGAGCTCGGAATCGGGCACACCGAGCTTCTGGTGTGCTCTGCGGTGCCCTGCAGCACCCGCCCGCTGCCCAAAGCCTGGCTTGCAGAGTGCTTCACTCACCATTCTGGTACATTTAAGGGTCTAATGAACGCACTACACCACTGCAATATTCTCCAGCACTGTATTTTATGCCTAAGTTTTGCCTCCTTACTCTAAAACGCCTGTTTTCTTCATGGCCCATAGAGTACAAGACATTAGGGTGCAATCGGTGAATACTCAACTTAGGGGAAACTAGAGCTGTGGGGACAACTGCTAACACTCCCTCATCCTGCTCAGGAGCTGGACATTCCTGCCCTTCTAGGAGGCCAGCTGGCCACACAGCTTCCGGACAGCTGGGAAAGCACATTAGGTCAAGGTGCTCTTCCGCAGTGGGGTGGAGGCTGCGCTTGCACTCCCGGCAGCAAGACCTCATCCATGTTTCTTCCCTAGGCCATTCCCTCCATGAGGTAATAAAACCAGGCAGGCAGTTTGTGCTCCTAATTTTGTGCCCCACTCACTCCTCTATGAGCAGCACTTACTCTTCCCGGCAGGCCCTGCCATACTCTGGCTGCCAGTGCTCTCTGGTCTCTATGCCTTGTCTAAGTTTTCAATTGGAAATACCACCCCGTGTTGCTAGCCTTAATTTGTTTAGAAGTCACTCACACTTCTATCACATTCTTTACAGCAATTTACCTTTAGGGCTCCTCACATGACTGCCCTGAGGCCCCTCACAAAGTCTCCAAAGTTTCTGTGTTTGTATGGCTTAAACAGCATTTGTCACTATTTACACATATTTTAACAAAAATCATCAGCTGATGAACAATCCAGTGAATGGGTACTTCTCTGTATATTTATTTTAATGTCCATTAGATTCCTATTTATAACTATTAAAAACATCATAAATGAATTTATTATAGAAACATGAGTGGCACAGAAGGCATTCTGAAGTATACTAAATAATACAAACGTTTAAATTTATGAGGGCCACTAACACTGGTGAGATGTAACAAATGCACTACCATAGAGATGACCGCAGGAGGACCAGGTCTAGGAATGCAGGCAGCAGAGGTGATAGGGTACCTCCTATGGGGAAGCCCAGAGCAGGCATGCTGAAGGCCATACCTGATACCTGGTAGCAGATAGGAGGCTGACTTCTTACTTGTGTGACTGCTCTGGAAACTGTAAGGTGGGTGAGAAAGAAAGGAATACTGCTTGGGAAGAAAGGAAGAAAAACTTGAGAGACAAAATGGGCTCCCTGTAGGCCACTGACTACTGCTGGGCTTACTCTCTCTTCAGTGATCTTCAAAGCCTTCCTGGGCCAAATGAACAAGTGGAACAAAATGGTACATTTAAGCTTTCTATAAATATAAATCTCAGTCTTTTTCCTACTACTTGTGTAGCAACAATGGAGAATATCAGGCACAGCTTTAGTGTCCTCTGGCAAATAAAAGACTTCATACATTAAATTATTTCATGTTTTCTATCTACTGGCAATTCTAAAAGCACAAGTATTTACCTTTGAAGTCTGGTCTTTACTGCCATCATCAACTACTATCACCTCGTAAGTGAAAGCAGGATCATGCTTCTGTAAGAAACAAAAATAAAATACCTTAATTTGGTATGATTACCATTAAAAACCTTAGAAAAAGCACAGGTAATATGAAAAACAGCTGTTTTAGTGTTGATATTTAAAAGTATGAATATAAATATTAGCTTACAAAGCACATAAAATGAGGCTAGGAACAAAGAGGAGAGGCACTAGGCAGGAGCTGGGGACACATGGACCACCTTCCTGTGCACCTCCCCACTCTTTCCCATTCTGCCCTCAGTAAGCCCCGCACTTGGGTGCCAAGGTGCACTGGCAAGGCGACACGAGCACGAGAAAAGCCCACGAGGTCTGTCATCAGTGACCCCATCCGGGCTGAACCAGCTGAACCTCAGGACTTTGGGCTCCTTAACTTTTCTGGCCTATTTCCTAGTCATGTGGCTGCTATATTTTTACATTTAATTTTAAAATATGCAATATGGTGCCCTCTGTCTTAATGCATCTTTTTTTAACGCATCTTTTCTTTATATAAAACCTCAACAGTAAAGTAAGAAAATTATTTTTTTACCACCCATAAAGCTCATTTAATTTTCAGCCTCTCCATAGAGACTCCAAAGGCAATTGATGCTTCAAAAGAGGGGTGTGTGTTACTTTCCTTCTGCTTGTGAAAGGAAAAGAGGAAAATAGATGAACACTCTAGTAAATAACGAACAAATTTCAATCTAAGTGCAAGTGTTAAATGCCTCTTTCTAGAGTCACAGAAATAAAAAAAAAAAACAGCATCGTATTGTCACACGGTCTGCAGTCATGAACTGTTACTCAACTTTAAATACATCATTGGGCAAGAAGATAAAAGTAGGTAGGTGGGTAAAAAGAAATGCCGGCTTCCTGATTTGTCCCAGGTCACCAGCCTTTCTCTGGAGATGCTGTGCAGCACACTAAGCCAAGAGATAGCTTTGGATCTGGCTCCTGCCATACTACCTCTTTCGGTGTGTGTCTAGCTTGGGGTCCGCAGTTCATAACCTGGTCTAGTTCTAACCTGAGACATTATGTTGAAAGAGAAAGTATAATACCTGTCTCTTCTCTAAGTAGTCCAGGGCTTCATCCATCATTACAGGCACTGAGAGAAAAAAATTATTTAGAAATGAGTTACAGAGCTGCACTTCCATATGGAAAAAGTCCCAAGTGTAACCATGCTCGCAGGGCCATTCTCATCTGGGAGGCCCTCCACTGCGGGCATCTTATTACTTGTCTAGCACCCGTGGTCCCACCACCTCAAGACGCTGTTCTCCTCTTCTGAATAGCAGTTAACAGCTAAGCATGTACTATAGCCCGTATCTTCAGACAGTGGAATCAAACACTTATATATCCTTTTCTTCTCAAGCTACCCCTTATCAAAAACCAAACAAGGCTTACACCGTTCTTCTTCGTTGTATGAAGGCACAACAACAGAAAGCTGCTTGGTAGGTGAGTCCCATATACTGGGTAAAGTTTCCTTTTGGCCTTTGGCATTTACGAAGAACTTCTCTTCTTCGTGTCGGAGAAGTGATGGCATTTTTGTAGCAGTTACAAATGCAATAATGGAGATCTAAAAGTGGACATGTAAAAAAATAATATACTGATTTTTAAAATAAATGTTGTTACAGAATACATCACTTGTGAAATTCTTTTTTTCTTTTGGTGTTGGTGGAATACTCACTCTCAACTTTTGGCTCATTGACAATGGTCTGGACGTGACCCCAAAATGAGTTGATAGTCTCCTAGCCAATCGTTATGAACTTATGATTGTACTTTTCTCCATTCATACGGTATTAATGCTTCGGGAGCCCTGTCTTTTTTCACCATTATGCCAGATCTAGTAAGGAACAGCCACCATTGGAAATCCAGTGTACCTCAGACATGTGAAACTCCAAATCCCAGTGTGCATGTGTGTGTACCCCCATGAAGCGAGGTCTCATGATACTGAGGGCCTTTATGTGACACAGAGAGCAAGATCATACTGCAGTTAGAAAGTATAGGGTGATGCTGGGCATGGCAGAGCATGCCTGGAATCCCAGCACTTGGGAGGCCGAGGCAGGAGATTCACTGCAAGTTTGAGGCCAGCTGGGGCTACACAGTGAGTTCAAGGACAGCTTGAACTACACAGAGAGACCTTGTCTCAGAAGAAAAAAAGAGAAAAGGCTCAAGGTAGACTTCCTACCCAGGACTAGAGACATACAGCATATGTAAGGATGGTTCAACCCCTGTGGTAGGAAATGTAATGTTTAACAGTTTGAAGGAGGATAAAGAAATACAGTAGAATGACTGCTTAAAATAAAAACTACATGAAAGACACATTTCCATGGATTCCCCTAAAAACAGTCCCCCTCACTTCAAGCACACACATCCCATGGCTCTTGCCACTTCCTGAGGCAGTGTCTTTTCTGTGGCTGCGCTAATGTTCTGAAGTTGATTCAAGGTGTTTACAGCAATTTCTGTCATACAAAAGCACATGGTGTCTCTTCATCTACCTTATTCACTGGATCTGGTGCTGTTTTACTTCTGGATCTTTTCCAAAATCAAAATGCCTGAGTAGGAGCTTAAACAACTGAGCTAAACCGAAGGCCCCCCTGATAGCTTAGCGGACTAAAGCACCTACTTAGGTAGAGTGCAGAGTGGCAGGGGTTCGATCTCCGGTGTGCTGTGCTGGCCCTGCACCCAGGACACGCTGAGTCAGCAACTGAGACTGGGCATGGTGGACAGCACCTGTAATCCCAACTCTTGGGAGGCTAAAAGCAAGAGGATCACTGAGTCTGATCTATGTAGTGAGAGACCCTGTACACCCTGTAGACCCTGCGCTAAAATTAAAAAAAAAAAAAAATAACAACAAAAACAGTGCCCATAAAAGGTAAAAAGTTTTCAATCTATCCAGGACACTGAGGCTCCCAGAGGAGTAAGACTAAGGACACTCACTATAGAGGACTTCCATATCTGTTTTAGAAAGTGCAATAATGGAATGTTGAAAGTGAAGGGGAGAATTTTGAGGGGGATTAACTAGTAGTCATCTTGTACTGTAATAAGTTTTTCAAAGTTAAAGTTAACATATTTTTCTATCATACCTCATAAATTTTGATACATCGAATAAGGTTTTTTTTTTTGTTTTTTTTTTTGCAACAGGGTCTTGCTATGCAGTTAGGGCTGGCCTTGTGCTATTTTGTAGCCCCCAGGCTGGTCTCAAACTCCAAGCAATCCTCCTGTTTCAACCTACCCAGTCGTGGGATTACAGGTGTGCATCACTATGCCCGGTCCCAGGGGGACTGGCACAGCATGTGGAGCCCAGGATCAAACTCTGGACCTTGTACTTGCCAGGTAGGTACTTATGACTCTGAGCTATCTCCTCAGCCCCTAAAATAAAAATTTGGATTACAGCACTCTGTCAAGTATAAAACCTGTAAGTTCCCTTCCATATGTACTGGGAAGATAATTTTAGAAAAACTATTCTTTTTTAATAATATCCCTAGTACACCATTTCAGAACACCTACAAAGTTTTGGAATTCTACGGACTTGCTCTTTGATGACCATTTATAGTACTCCACCCACTACAGAACCAAAGTCAACATGCTTCTGATTAATACAAGCAAAGGGTCAGCAGCCTAATTTTGGTAGTTTCTGCTTCAAACCTTACTGTCCAGATTGTGGTTCCTAAATTAAGTTTCCAACTTAAAGTTACCACTTCTCTTACACAGCTGGCTGACTCAGATCAGGGGCAGGAAATGTAGAAGGGAAGATCAAATCAGACCAAAAAGTGAAGACTATAAATGATATGAGAATTATGCAAAAAGAACAAAAACAGTGTGAAGGGTCTTTGACTGCCTGCAGTGGAGGGTTTCCTCATCAAAAAGATGGATACTGTAACAGACTGAAACACAAGAGAAAACTTTAAATTGTGAATCATAATAAAAACAAAGGTCACCTCTTTAAAAGCCAGGGAACCATTTCAAGAAAACTTTTAAAACTTGCCTTTTATATTTGAAAGGTATAGCACTTCAGGCTAACTGAATAGCTCAGGATTAGAGTCTTTTCATTATACATTTGTATGTCATAATTGAAGGAATGACATAATTAAAAGTATTGCACTATAAAGTCTCAAAGCCTACTGAAACCACTGGGCTGAATCCAAGGTTTGTAACTACTAGGTCAGGCTGGCAACACCAGAAACAAGCTGCCACCCCATGTCCTGAGACATGAAGAAGTGGTAAGCATTTCTCACACACTTTTCTTGATTCAACTAACATACATTTGATCAAGAGTCTAGATCTTAAACACCAGACTGCAGCAAACTCATGGAACAGAGGAAAATGGAAGACACCAAGGGATTTCAAACAGTGAAATCCATAGTTTGAAAAAATATTACAGAATATCAACTTTCTTAAAGGTAAGGAAAATTCAAAAAAGAAAAGAGCTGTTAATAGAAAAATTTCTCAAGATACACCAATCAAATGTAATGTGTGGCCCCTGTGGAATCCTGACTGGAATATATCAGTCACTTCCACTGAGACATACATGAGACATTTGAACTGAAAAGCTATTTGAAATCAGAATACTGGTGGAACTTAAAAAAAAAAAATTGCAATCAATTATTGCAATGACATTTTAAGCAGAGTCCTTTTCTTACAGAAATAAATGTTGAAGATTTACACACAAAATACTATGTTCTGGGTTTGTTTTAAAACAATTCAGAAATGAGGTAAGGTGGGAAGGGATTACAAACAGAGAGGAGGAATATGAAATAAAAGTGTTTTTTCAAAAAATTTTTCTCTGGCTTTAAGAAGACTAACTTTATGGGTGCAGTGACACATTATTATAATCCCAGCATTATCAGGTTTGAACGTAGTCTGGGTAATTCAGTGATACTCTGTTTCAAAGTGAAACATAAAAAGGGGGCTGAGGATGGGCTCAGTGTGAAGGCCATGGATTAAATCCTCACTACTGCTCCCTCTCCCTCTAAAAGGTTAACCTCCACTAACTGTATTTGAATATAGGAGGAGCTTATTGCCAATCTAATTTTCACCAGAAAATTCATGCAAAGGCGTAACATGTATATCACAGTGGTGTTTCAAAGATCAAATGAGACGATCCCCACTAAACCTTCAATGCCATATCTAACATACAGTACCAGAAGTAACCAATGAACAGTAGCTTCTCCTGGGTCTATTAGCACACACTTGTAACCCCAGTGACACAGGAGGCCGGGACAAGAAGACAAGTTTGAGGCCAGTCCAGGAAATTTAGCAAGACCATGTCTCAAAATGAAAAAAACAAGGCTGAGGATGCAGCTTAGTGGCAGAGTGCTTGATTATACAGAGGAGGCCCTTCGTTCAATCCCCAGGACTGCAAGAAAAAAAATAAAAATAAAAAATAAAATAAAATAAAAATAAATAAAAAAATTAAAAGATGCCTCATCACACCTTTAAATCTCTTCAACAGACTTAAAGTAAGGGAGCGCAATCTGGGATTGTGTCAAACTCTGACCCTGAAAAACCTTAAATAAGACACCCTGGGTTAAGGGCATATATCAGGAGCACATACCAACAGAGAGATAACGACGCACTGGTTTTTCTGTAGCGTTCCGAATATATAAATTCACAACACTTCAGAGAAGGGGGCAGCGTGGCCTTCCTTCCAATCCGGGCTCGGCTCGCTAGCTAACCTGAATGCCAAGCAAGCTAAAATTCCCTCCACTCAGTACCTGGCTCATTCTCGAGTATGTGGCAGCCGAGAGTAGCGGTAAAGACAAGCTGAATTTCAGTTTTCTTGTCCTGACACCTCTAGGAGAAGCAGTAAATTTAAAGTGCCTAGTTCTGAGACCTCAGGCCTGGGACTGCTTCTCTGCCCACCCGTGTCCTCAGGGTGCCTCCTCGATCCTCGATCTGTCCCCCCACCTTCACGCCCGGTCCCTTCCGCGGCCTCAAGCCTCCGCGGACGGGGACAGCACGGCAAGGTGGGCGCCTGGCCGGAGCGCCGCGCCGCGGAGGGGAGAGCAGGGGTCGGGGTCGAGGTCGGGATCGGGAGGGGAGCTGGGCGGGGCGCGCCCCAAGCTCGGGCCGCGCAGGAGGCAGGGTCCAAGGAAGGGGCTGAACTGCAGGGGCGGGAGCCCTGCAGCTGGCACCTCAGACGCGGCCCAGGGCCGGCAGCCGGACCCGCCCACGCCCGGGAGCCGCAGTCTGGGCAGAGCCCGAGTCGAGCTGCGACCGTCCCCAGCCCGGTCCTCACCAGAACGAGGCCCGCGGCGGCCAGCGCCGCACCGAGCCCGGCGAGCTGCAGCAGTAGCGGCACCATCCTCCACGCCGGCCGCCGCCACCGCCGCCCGCCCTATCCCGCGCCTACACACACGCGGAAGCGCCTCAGCCGCCTCCCGGGGCCAGAGCGGCCGCGCCACCCCAGCGCCCGCCGCCCACAGCGCCCCGCGCGGCCAGGCGGGGTTCGAGCAGCTAGGGGCGGGTGCGCGGGGGAGGGGGAGGGGGAAGAGGGGAGGGAAGGGGGAGGGGAGGAGGAGGGGGAAGGGGAGGAGAAAAGAGAAGGGAGGGGGAAGGGAGGGGGAGGGGAGGGGGAGGGAAGGAGGAGACGGTAGAGGAGAGGAGGGGGAAGAGGGAGGGGAAGGAGGAGGGAGGCGTTCCTCGGCGCTGGCCTCTCGGGGTGACCGCGGCTAAGTGGCATCAGCCTTACAGACAGTAAGCGCACCGTGCAACTTAGCCACTGAGAAGGTACGTTTGATCTACCACAGTATGGATATTTTTTTCCAGCAGTGGGTCTTGAACGTGAGCTGCATCCCTAAGCCTTTTTCGTTGTGAACTTTGAAACAAGGGCTGAACGTTCAGTCCGCCCGCGTCAGCCCCTCAGAATGCGGGCTCTGAAGCGTCTGACGCAGCAGCATCCGTGACGCTGACACTGCCGCGCCAACCTGCACTTCTCCAGCTCTCCCGCTCCCACCTCACCCTGGCAACAACTAGTAGCGCGCACTACGTGAGCACGCCGCCGTTCGCTTTATCCGCGCGACCCTCCCCGGACTTGGCGGGGCGCCGAGCCCGTGAGGAGGGCGGGCTTTCAGGCGCCCGGTTCTGCCTATCGCGGGCGATACCCGGAACTACTCCATCAGCCTTGTATTAAGCGGGACACTCCCCTAACAGCCGATTTGTCAAAACGCGGCAACAAAAGGAACCGTCAGGCACTAGGTGCAGCCGCCCTCCCGGCCCCGCCGCGGCCCGGGGCGCCTCCGCCCGCC